ACCCACCTCGGAAGGATGGAAGGCTGAGTCAACCTTGAGCCGGTGAGATTAGAACCGCTGAACTGCAGCTTAGCAATCATCTGAAGTGGCCTGCAGTACTGCACCCTAACCACTGCGCCACCTCGGATAGGGTACAGAAAAGAGCAACAAAGATGACAAGGTGTTTTGAGGCTACATCTTGTAAAGAATGGTTAAAGGAACTTCGTACCTTTAGCCTAAAGAGGAGAAAGCTAAAGGGAGATACAGTAGCTGTTCTTCTATATACGGAAAGAGGTTGTGGATTTATTCTCCAGAGAACATGAAGGTAGGACAAGAACCATTGGGCTCTTTAAAGTAAGAGTTCTCAACTGCAAAAATCCAATCATCCCATGAGTTATTCGGAGTGAAAGAGCCAAACCTGAGGAGGAATTTTCTGAACGTGAGAACAATTAACTTGTGAAACAGCCTACCTCCTGAAGTTATGGATACACCATCACTGGAAGTTTTCAAAAAAAAGACTAAACCATCATTTGTTCAAGATGGTATGAGGACTCCTCTACTGGGCAAGAAAGATACCCAAGATCCCTTACATACTCTATGATTTTAAGACCCTGATTAAATATTCCTCCTCAGGGAAGACTTCTAAAGATACAAGAGGTGTGTTTCACCAGCGTAATGATAGGAATTGCAAATGTAATAGAAAATATTTTAGTTTTAGCAACAGCATATTTATTTAAAAGGATTTGCTTTGAGGCTAATCCTACAAAAGCCTATTCAGACTTAAATCCCACTGCTTTTAACACAGCTTGCTCACTAACATGCATAGGGTGCCGTCTTCAATCACTTAAACTTGTCAATCAAAGGCAGCTGAAGTGATAAAGGGTTTTTTTTAATAGTATTTTTTCCTTATATTACCTGAATTTCTTGTGATGGATGGCATCCTTTGTATTCCTCCTTCAAAGGATTTGAGAATCTGATCTTTTTTATTATTATGATGATTATATTTGACTGTCAGTGGTCAGGCATTCCAAAATTGTTTCAGTGGAATAAATTAGCTGCAATACTGTATATTTTTTTCAAAACTTTTTTGTTGTGACTGCAAGACTACAGCTTCAAAGGGGTCTTCTGTTTATTAGGAGGCCATTGGCTCTCTTCGCCACCTGTATAATTAAAAAAGAAAGTTTTAATGATCATGACTTTTTTCAGAATGAAACAAATACTGCAGTACATGTTTTGTCTGGAGTAATTCCCACAGAGGAAGTTTTTATTATAGTTGTATTCCTTTTAATAGTGGGGTTTGAATACCATAAACTAAACACATCGGGGGGGGGGGTTCCTCATGGGCAAGTTCCTTTAACCTGATATAAGTCCCCAAATGGCAGTTCATTATCCTGGTTCTTTACCGGAATGAGATTGTAACATTTCTGTCCACTAATTAGGAAAACCCATCTAGGAATAACACCATGCAATTAATCCAGTGCAGGAAATAATGATCCAGGGTGGAATTTAAGTTTTTGCCCACATCAAAAGGTTTACCCAGCCCATGAAGATGAAAAACATGTTCACTAGGAAAGTATTCGAAATGAAAATCAGTTCTTGGATCTCAGCATAAAAGTACAAGACTCAACACACATAACTGTCAAATTACTTGACTTGCTAAAACTTTTTCAAGGGGTCTTCTCACCTCATTAGGTGGCCAAAGTATTTGAGCTTCAGCGTCAGTCTCTGTACTTCTAAAGAACATTGAGAAAAAAGTAATAGTTAAGAAGTTTGCCTCCATATTGCGGTGCAGACCTTATAATTTCCATGACCTAATCGTTTGATGCAAGATAGCTTGTCTCCAAAACAGCAATGATGTTGATATTAAGACATTATGTAAAATTAAATTTTAAAAGCTGATTCTAAACTATCAATGGTATTCCAAGCACACAAGCAGATCATGGCATTTTTACCATAAGGATCAAAAGCTCTATAGATGGTTTACAGTTCTGAATATTTTGAAGTGTGATAGACTTAATTCTAATCACTTCCTTGAGTATTTGTACTTGTACATCAACTTAGTGCTGATGCTTATTAACCACACAGATTTCTCCAAGACGCTCTACTTCAGCTTTATCCTTCAAGTCTTCCAATCGTGAACCCGTTTTACTAGGCTAACCTAATAACTATAGTTAACAATCACCAATTTCATTTATGATTTAAATTTCCTCACCAAAGTTTCTTAGAAATGGTGCAAAATATGCAGGTCAGTTTTTCTTCAGCGTCACAATATTTGACATCATTGTAAAAGTTTCTTTTTTAACTTCTAAAACCTTGAAAATAGATTTGAATATAGATTGCACATAACGGAAAATGTTGTGAATGGGAGGAGGAAGGTGCAGTGGATATGTTATCTGCCTTGAATTATTTGTAAAAATAATAAAAGTGGGATACAAAGAAAGAACTAAAATTACTAAAGACTAAACTTGCTCCTATATTCTCAGTGTGTCCCCCATTGTACCCATATACGAAATGAGATTCCTCTTGGCAGCCTTCACAAGTGACTTTATTAGATTTCTCAAATGCATGCAAGCATAAAAACATACACACGTATCCCTAACATACTGCAAAATGAAGTGTTAGCCTCAGGCATTTTTATTGACAACATGCTTTTGATTATCACACAAGTCCAAAAGAAATGAAACTGTTTTAACACCCAGCTGCTTGGGGGATTACCAAAGGGAAGTTGCGGAGATAAAGATTATAACATAATCACCACTTCATCTGATATGTTTCATCTTAATTAGTTGTAATTGGGCTTCAGTTTATCTGAATAACTTTTTATCTACATCTATCTATCTATCTATCTATCTATCTATCTATCTATCTATCTATCTATCTATCTATATCATCTGTCTCTATCTATCTATCATCTATCTATCTATCTTTATCATCTGTCTCTATCTATCTATCTATCTATCTATCTATCTATCTATCTATCTATCTATCTATCTATCTTTATCATCTGTCTCTATCTATCTATCATCTATCTATCTATCTTTATCATCTGTCTCTATCTATCTATCTATCTATCT